ATGTCATTGACACAGGGCTCATTGAGCACGGAAGTCGTTTCGTTCCAACGCAGTGTCTTACGTACACGCAATCCTCGTTGAGGCAATAATCGATTGGAGCTGTAAATGTTCTAGATCTAAATGGGGGAGAGTGTAACGGGGTTACACATTTCCTGGTAACAGGGGTGTGTGTCACACGAGATGGGCATGGTGTGACTGTACCCAAACAAGAATACGGTACGGGGCTGGATAGCCAGTAGTTATGCATGTATTTAGTTTTTTCTATACATATTTAGGAAAATCTTTGCATTTAAGATCAGACGGCTTTGCCGCAGATAAAAATAAATAAAGACAGTTTTGATTTTAGACCGAAGAGTTAGTTAGCCTAGGGTCAAGGCTATAAAAATTACCCTTGGGGTAAGCGGATTGCGATCCGCTAAACTCGTACTTGTTCTGAGGTCGGTGACCTAACTTAAGCTTACTCAAAGCGCACAGCTACGGCAGCCCCGCTGCAAGAAAGGTGATGATGAAAGAGCTGCCAGAGCTGCAGTTGGCGACGAAAACGAGTGAGTACTAGTGCCTCTTCATGCGTTATCCGTGCTTAGCGGAAGGCAAAGCCAGAACGGCACGAGTTGGCTACATGCCGCGCCACAGTGATATAAAGGGTGACAAAAGTTGTCGGAAGATGATCGTGCTGATCGAATCTGAGATCTAGTGGATTCGAGTTTCATGCAGTGACACGGGGTTACACGTACCCTGGTATGAAGGGTTGGGTCACACAAGATGGTGTGACCACACAATGATGTGGCTACACCCTAACAAGAAGCATTCGTGGCGGGACTGCCAGTAGTTATGCATCTTAAGTAGGTTTTTACTAACTAGTTAAAAAAACATTACAATTAGATAGGCGGCTCTGTCGCAAATAAATAAAAAAAATCCAATTTGGATTTTGAACGGAAGAATGTATTTGCCTTGGGTAAAGGTTGTGGTTATTCTTGGAGTAAGCGGATTGCGATATGCTACGCTCAT